AAGTGATTCAGTCATGAAATTTTCACAATTTTTTTCCCTCTGTCTCTGTCGTCTTAAATATGGAAGCAGTACAGTATGCTTCAGGGAGTAACACTGTCTCGCTCATGATTGCTCAAACAAACTCACTGGGTTGGACTTTGATAAAGTAGTCTCACTGGTACATTGTGAACTCTTCTAATGACAATTTGTCAACAAGGTAACACCGTATGAGGATGTTACTTTGTAGCCCAAACTTCATTTAAACATGAGAGGATAATGAAAATCATTAATTCATTACCAGTGGTCGTTAATCCTTATGTAAAAGTTTAATCAATGCTGCGGCTCACATAACAAAAAAAGAGGTGGAGTTTGAAGGGCATGACCACAATGCCGGCTGAGACAAGTTACTGAAACAGCCTGATAATTCCATGGGAGAATTCACTGCAGACTTTGATGAGGAAATTCGCTTCATGTTACACTATTTCAGGACGTTGTATTATATGTGGACGTTGCACAATTCTCACTTTATCTAGGTCTTTATCTTTGGTCTTACAAGTGTTGCACCCACAGTTGGGGCATAAGGTTTACATACAATTGGTAGAAAAACAGTTTTCCTCAATTTTTCACTGTTTGTGAAATAATTGTGCCACCTTTTTTTATGATGTCAGACAAACTGTATCCAAACTTGATTTCCGTAGTGTGTACAAGTACTTCAATTGACAATACTCAGAGACATTTCTTATGGTTCAAAATATTAATATTTATAAAAATAATTTTGTAAAAAATTTACAACTTCCCCTTTATTGTCATTTCAAACACTTCAAAAAGTGGTCCACTATGACTATGAGATGTGACCAAAAATACAGAAAGCGGCACTGAATATTAGGCTTGGAGAATGTAAAATTTTGATTTTGAGGAAAATAGAAATATGAACTTTCCATACACGGACACCTCTGGGTGTTTTGATTGGACGAATACAACATGTGCACTGAGTACAGACCCATCTTATTTGTCCTCATGAAAAGACAAGTTGGTAGGGATGAGTGAAGTTGTGAAATTTGAGGAAAACGCTCCACCAGGTGAATATATCCTTTTGACCGCGACTGTACATGCTGCTACATGGTGGACGAATGGCAAAGCTGAACAGTGGGACTATAAACAGAATAAAAGTCAACAGGGCTGAACAAAATTAATCTGCAGCGTAACGCTTGATTCAAAGATGATCCAAAGGTAGAAATTGACCGGTTGTACAGACATCACAATAGTCAATGGACATTAAAAAACCAAATTGGAGATCGTAGATCCAAAACTTCTAACCTGTGAAACTGAAACTGAAGGAATGCACTAGGCCTACAGGAAAATTGCCAAATTGTCAACTGTTAACAGTTAACCCTGACACTCCTCAGTCCTCTAACAGGTGAAGGATTGAGGAGCGTTAGGGTTAACCCCCAAAATCAATAGGAACACAATTTTCTTCTTGTTGAATTTAGTACAACCAGCAGAGAGCACTGATATTCAAGAGTAAAAAAAGACCAAAAGTGACCCCCACCAATACAGGCAGCAGTGACAGATGATCACTAACTCAAATCCCGGGGAAACCATTCCCCTCCAACCAACAAAATCTGCAATTGGTTTTGTGGCTCAATCGATCCTAATCAATATCAACAAAGTCATGGGTGTAGATCTATTTGCCGGTAAGCGGCAATTCCCTCACGGTTCTAATCAGTTTTGGGTTTCTCCCCTCTCCCCAAGTCCTTCCCAACCTCATTTACCGGCATATGCTCATCCGTCACAAACAACCGACTCATCCCATCTCAAACAATTGCCCGGCGAGAGCGACCAAGACGAATACTAATCAACCCGGAAGACATCTTACAAACGAGCCAGCCTGTCAGAGACACCAGGCTAGCTGGTGGACAGTAGCCACAGCAGATATATGGATATAGCCCCCTGCTGCTTCTCAATTTGAAGTCCCGGGCAAATTAATTCTGCACAGCTCATGGATCTAGGTCTGCAAATGGATGTGGCCAAGGTGATATCACCAGGTCCCTGGGCCGATTAGGGCGCGGTGCTAGCCAGGTATGCTTTACCGTCACAGATACGCCGCGCCTTGTGGGAATCTACCACACCCCAGCTTATCTAGCGCAGTGAACGGTTACTCAATCTGGTTGGGCACGGGCTGCCGTGTATGTGTCTTATCAGTAGTTTATCCACATGTGTGGGTGGGTGTCTTTGTCCCCGTCTGGCTGCTACCCTGCGATTCATGTAATTATCTGTCAGCTGGCTGTTTTGAACGCACTGTGTAACAGTGCATGAGTGGAAAATTGTACACAGCGTGTTCATTAAACACGGAAATAATTTTTCACACGTGCGATGCTGTACATGTGAATCCTGATAGCCATCACTTCCAAGGCAAACAGAAAAGGCCAATACTGGAAACCTCACGGCAGCCACAGATGGCTAGGATGAAGTGTACCGTTAATGACACATGGATATTGAGCAATGATAATGCAACACATGACTGATCAGACAGCACAACATCAGGCGACGAATGTTGTGTCATTTGGACAGTTCTACCTGATGAGAGAAAAAAAAAACACACACACAATTTGCCGGGCGTATCGATGAGACTGAGCAGATCAATTCCCATTTGGACAAATGAGCAGGGGGTTAGTAAAAATTGATGGTGGCATAAATTTATACATGTACACACAGCAGCAAAGGATAGCCACGGCACAAAAAAAGGCACTGGGTGTAATTCATGGAATTCAATAATAACATTTGGATGCAAACATTCGCATAGACTGCGCAAGAATGCCGCAAGGACGTGTTCGTTTGAGTGTGTGTAAATGTTGTCATGGTGTACTAGGTTATCTCTGAACCAGCCATTGATTCTCCAGATAAAGACGTCTAACTGACACGACTGTGCCAACAGAGGGCTCCCTCCACAATCCCCGACTGGATGGATTTCCTCAAACAGCCTGGTTAATTTGAAACTGACTTCTACCATGCTCTCTCTTGTGACATGCAATTCTTGCTCTTTTAAATGCATTTGCACGCAAATGATGAAGTACTTTAAAGGACAAAGACATGCAGAGTAAGATGCTATAAACTAAAACACCGACAGAGAAAAAAAGCTTAGAATTAGAGCAAATATCCAGCCAATTTGGCACATAATTTGATTATAATCATTATGGTACTGATATCACCATAATGACACCTGTTTTTTACACTTTTAACAACTGATTAAAAAAAAATGATGTTGGCTTAGGCATTTTGATTGAATTTCCAACACTGAGAGACAAATTCCCGTCTGAGTGGCGGTGCCGCCCCTTCATTCTTGTCTCCTCCCACGTCAAACCAGCCAACAAAGCCCAGGTGACTGGAAGACACTAACTGTAAAGATGGTGGTCATTTCAAACGCACGTACACTTGCTCATGTAACAACAATTCAAGACAAAATCTATTCTAGCTGTAATGCAAACGCAAGCGACAGGAAGCACGTTCAAACCCAAGCTCTGTCTATTCTACATATACAATGTGAGTTTATCTACTGGTACTGTACATGTGTACCAGCGTCATGACAGACAGTACTGGCAAGTGGTGGAGTCCAGTCCTTAAACACCAAGTCGAATCGAGAGTCAATTCGCAAATCTGACAGAGGAAATTCATTCCTGTGACTTGAGCAGGGAAGCTTTGTCGGGTCTTGTGCCGGGACTCAACTACAACACAACTGCTAGCTATTACAATGATTCTATTCTACAACAGATACGGGAACCTTGCTTAATCTACAACAAGTGTCACACGTTTCCCGAACCCTTCAAAATCTTGTATCTGGGATATCCTTGGATATTCTACGCTACGTAGATGTGTAGTTCAGGTTTGTGAAGCATGGAACCGTACAAAGAGAAAGAACTGAAAGAGAAAAGATCTGAACTTGAATAAACTCGAGTGAAGCAGTTCGTTTCATCTGCTGGGTTCACCGTGTATGATGTGGAGACAGGAGACACCCCACGACAAGGAGCTCCCTGAAGTGACTCACGGCTGTTTTGTACCATATGTTGAACCCGAGACGTTCCCATCCGTGCCACATTCCCCCGTTTCCCCCGTGGCGATGACCGCCAATGAGCCCAATGACAATCACTGAAATATAAATTTGCACACTTTGAAATTCAGCTGGCTTCCCAGCCCCTTCGTATTTTTTTCCCTGTAAATTGCACACCGTAAATTTGAAACCAATGCTTGAAAGGTATCTGACCGCAGCACACATCTTTTCCCCTCAATATCTCGATACTTGTGCAAGAAGTCAAGAGTATTCCAAGTATAAATTTCAGCATTTTTAATACAAAAATGTCCACAGCTTCAGAAGATACGGGGATCATTTTTCACAATCGAGCAGTGATACGACACTCAAGACACTGCAGGAACTGAAAAGAAACAGCTACATGTAAGCCCTAAATCTGCTGGGACCCGGCTTCACTATTTCAGGGACTTTCTTCATGATAAGTATGGCTCAACTAATTAGAGTCCACAATTGTTGAAATCAAGTGATTGTCTCTGGGTGCGCACAAAAGCAAGTACTTGTACTTCTCTGCCTGCGGGACGTGTGCAAAGTGTAATCATACAGAAGTCCAAGAGACTGACTTTTCCACCAGAAGTTCACATCCAACAATGATGCGCATGTGCAATGCGTAAACAGCAGCATCAACTTTTGCCAGTAGTTTGCAACAATTATTCGGAATAAAAGCGCTTCATCCATCTTTTGGCTACCTTAGCACTTTTTTTCCTCCCACAGAAATCATCCTCCAGCTTCCCCCCTATGCCTTTCGAAATTTTTCTGGATATATTAAATGCATGTGGAACCCACTCTCAAAATGGAAGATTTCCCCAAGATCAAGTACACACAAATTTGTTTATGACCATGAAGAAAATAAAAAAAGGAATGCCCTGGCCAATTGTGGCTCAGGTTGGGGGGGCAGGAGACTGCAATAGCCGAGGAAACGATTGATTAAGGTACTTACCGGCTGACTTAGGGGTGAACTTGTCTCTGTGTGCGGCGCAAACGGCGAGGAGTCGGTAGCCTAGGTCTAGATCGAAGCCATTCTGAGCTGCAACTCTGCTGACAATCTGTTGAGTTGTAGGGGGAGGGAGATGAAGCGGATGGAGGGGGGGAGAAAGGAAGGGGTTTGCAGGTTTATGATGAGGGTTGGTTAAAGTACAGCAGGAGGTTAGTAATTAAGGGAGAAACAAGTGACCACGTGGAAGTTTGAAGACAAAAAAAGGGGGGAGGGGTTTTACAAACAGTTGAGTTCGGGAGGCAGGGGTAACACGAGGATATGTTTGTGTGGTTGGTGGGATGGTTGGTGAGGGTGAGTTTTGGAGGATTTGACAGGGTTTTTTTTAGAGGGAAAAAGAGCAAGGGAGCACGGGCAATGAGTGCAACAGGGAATGATAAAGGGTAGAGAGGGCGAAGTGTGAGTTTCGGTTTCACGATTTGGAGTTGTGGGAAGACAACAAGATGTGAGTGAACGGGAAGACCGGAGGAGAGATAAAGAGAACAGATCTTTGTTTAATTTTCAGAGTACTGGAAACCCATTCAGAAACAGATTTTGGTATTCCATCATTAGATTTTTCTGCCAAATGACAAAAGTTACCAAATGATGGCCAATACCATAGTTACTGCAATTTTATTCAAAGTTAATCTGAATTTCTACTTTATGTAGAGCTTCGTCAAGATGTGAAAGTTACTCTGACAGTGATGATTCAGAACCAGGAACTGACAATATTTGGACAGAGAGAGAGCGAGCAAGCATATAATTTCATGTTTAGGTGGAATTGCTCTTTTCAATTTCTTGTCTGAGTCATTCAGCATACTAGCACAAGGGTACATGTACATGCAGCCTGTCACACAGTCAAAGAAGATCCTGTTTGCAATTCA